TGGTAAATATACATGCAGTGCCAGTAGATTGATCAGTACAAAAGATCGAATATAATGTTCTGAAAATTTTCACGTACGAATTGACAGAACTAAAGCTGAATTTTTCTTCGTTGATTGAGGGGGTCAAGCTCAAGAAAAACAACAGTATTCAAAACAGCAATCATAAAAAAGTGAGGGAGAAAAAGCATGGAGTGATCGAGTTCATATCAGACAAAAAGAGAGATAGAAAGAAAGCATGCATTTGCATCAAATCATGGTTTTAGATTTTGATTCAATGAATAAATGAAACATTTTCCTGCTACCTAGATTATGAATACGATGCTTGACTAAGCACATTACATTATAACGTAAACATATATGCTAGAAATCTTCATCTATATAATTGTTTTCAATTTTCTTCTTTATGTCATATACATAGTGCATGCTCAATTATTGCAAATATGAAAAATCTTTTGGATAAAAAAGCTTATTAGATTAGATGAACAGGCTCATGTCAAATCACATGGTTATCCAGTGTATGAAGATTTAAGACCACACATCTTATATCAAGTTTGGTCCTCACTATTTCTTAAATGGGCATGAAGAAAAAGTTATCTTTTGATACCATATTCTCTTCAAGAATCTTCTTAATAATTCTCCAACTACAGAACGGTCCTTCCAATTTTAATGTTCAATTTATAATTTTATCAAGGATAATAATATAACTTATTTATTTTTAAAATAATTAAACAATGTCAAAATAATAATGAAAAAAAAATAGATGTTCATTTACTTTATCAAAAATTAAGAAATTTATTAAAAGGTTTGATCAACTGACACCGTAATATAAGATAATTTCGAGCTCTTTAAGTACGTGTTTTTTTCGGTTTGTTTTCCATTAAAAATATAATATAATTATCTATTTTTATGTACTTTAATTAAAAAAATCATCAAAAAAATAAATGGACAGTTAGAATACACTGTTTTGAAAATAGTTTTCTTAAACAATGCATCTCATTATTAATTTATTTTAAACAATTTTAACTTAAACGTAAACATGTTATGCATATCTTCTATATGACTTCAAACGTACATGAGTTAAATATTATACCTTCCTTGTGATTTAAAATATTATTTCTCTTATTACACTTTTCAAGTTTATTTATTTTAAAGTTTTTTGAATTTTACAATACTCACGCAGTCCATGTTATTATCATTGAAATAAATTCCTTATCATTCATGTTCTCAAGTTTCACCAAAATAAATTAAATATCACTATGTGGTAATAATTATTTATTTATATATATAATCAATTTACAATATCTTTACTTTATTAATAAAATAAATTAAATTAAGCTGATCTATTTTTAAATCAACCTATCAATCAATAGTTACTTTGACAACCCTACATTATTCAAGGGACAAATATAGATGGATAATTATGTATCCGAAGAGATTATTATTTTGATTGAATTTTTAATCATTTAAAAGTTTAAAATGATATTAATTATTATTTTAATTACGTTTCTATCTTTGTAATTTTAAGTTATTTTATGCATTTATTATATTTTCTTTTATTTTATTTCAAAGTCAATAAAAAAATAAAGTCAACTATGCTATCAAACTTCTTCTTATGGTAAAAATAGAAGAAATGGACTTAAATCCACTCATAAAATATGTCATCATCCTTAGATTAAATAAATTGAAATTACAAAAAAATATCTATAAATAAGAAGAATCATTTTATTCAAATTAATTTATAAAAATAAAATATTTTGAATATTTTTATTTTAATTACTAGTTTAATTTTTCTTTTGAAATAAATATTTGATTTCCATATTTCTCTACAAGATTTTTATTTATATGATGGAAGTGAATTTTTGTGTTTTCTGAATCAAACACCTTCATTAATTTTAATTAATCTTTAAATTTTATAAATAAAATAAAATAATTTTTTTAATAGTAAGCATTCTTTTTATTATTATTATTATTATTATTATTATTATATGAAAAAACTATTAATTAAATTTTAATAATGCATTTAATATATATTTTTGTATTATAAAGAAAAATAATATAATTTAATGGAATAAATTATTTAATTAGTATTTAAAGATAATTTATTATACAATATTTTACAATGATTATTAATAAACAAAAAAATATGAAATCAAAATACGTTAATTTAATTACCATTTAAATTTTTCAAATTGAAGAGAATAATATAATACGTATTTTATGGCATAATTTATTTGATTGAGTTGGAATTGCAAAGTCACAATGTTAAAATATTAATAATAATAATAAATATTTCCACTTATATAAAAATAACCTTAACTATAAACACTAATAAAAAAACAAAGGTTTTTTTTTAATTGATTACCCCACACTTTTCCACTAAATATGTTCAATTTCCAAACACACCTTTATATTGAAAGTAAATACATTATTATTATTATTATTATCATTATTATCATTATTATTATTATTATTATTATTATTATTATTATTATTATTATTATTATTATTATTATATATATATATATATATATATATATATATATATATACTATGAAATAATTCGATATTCGTATCACGAGCGTAAAATAATAAAGGGTTTGGGTTATTAGAAGAAATGTGACAAATTTAAAAACTTATCACATACATATATTTTATTTGGTCATATTAGTTAAGAAAAATAAAATGCTTTATTCAAGTAATTTATTTTTCAAGCATGTTGATATATTATTTTATTGTGGATCTTCTTCTTTTTTTCATTACACTCAATATAGTACTCTTTTTTTCGTTTAACTTAAGCTTTATATTAATTATAATAATTATTATTACAATATTTTAAATACTATTTAACTCCAATATATGAGTTTTTAATATATTTTCATCTTATGATGAAAATTACTGACTCCACCCTAGATAGTGCATGTGGCTGTAAATATGTAATGAAATAAATGTGGTGCTGAAAATTGAGAGCCATCCAAAGTGCAAAGCACAATCATAGGGATTATGTTGACTTTTCTCTCGTTAGCATCTCCAATTTCAGATTTGTTTATTTTTTTAATAAAGTTCCTTATAAAAAAAATTGCTTATATTTTTTAATATTAAACAACATTTAGAGAAATATATAAATAAAATTATTGTGTTATCATGATAAAAAAAATGACTTAGATTTATATATTTAGTTATTTCTAGCATTCAATTTTAAATAAAATGAGATATCATATTAAAATAAATTTGTATTTATAGACTTTAAAATTATATATCTGCATTTATAAAGGTATTTTATTTATTTTTAAATTAGTTAAAACATCAATAACACTGTTCTGTGAAATTAAAGTGAATAGATAAAACATAAAAAATAAAAATTGAAAGAAGTCAACTAGTCTATGAGGCCTATGTCCTTTTAAGGCTCCAAAATTATATAATACCGACGAGAACGACCTCGTAATTTCTAATATGTAATCATTGTTGCCCATAACAATAATAAACGGTGAAGTGTCCGATTTGGAAGACTCTAAATTATATGATATTTTTTATGTGCTAAAATAAATATGTAAATCCAACTTAAAACGTAAAAATGGTTTAAAATTTTCATGGAAGATAATATTATTAGAGCTTATTAATATATTATTTATTTTATACTTCTATTGTTTTACTATTACTTTATTTTTAAAAGATATTTTTGTTGATTAAGAAATAATAATATATATAAATTATTAATTTATCTCTACTCTTTAAGTAATTTATGAAACTTTCATGCGTAACAAAATATTTAAAATAACGTTTTAAAGTTAGTTTCTTTCAATCTAACCAATTATGTTGTGTTTTTTATTATAAGTCATGTAATCTAACCAAGTATGTAGTATTTTTCATTATAAATAAAATAACAATATAAATTATTATGGAAGTGCAAAATCGATTTACGTTTTTTTTAATATTATATATGTTTTCAAAAGTAAATAAAAAAAATATTATTTTTGAAGTTAACGAATTTTTATTAATAAAATTGTGAACCATTAAACCTTACCTCATAAGTTTTTCATATTTCATTGTGTCTTGTTCGTAATTTCTGAAACTTCTTCTCACTCAAACTATATGAAAATGGAGGTTAAATTTTAGGATTAAGTGTGTTTGAATGAAAGTTTCAAAAATTGGTTGAAATGAAATTTTATTTATATTTAAACGTTTTTATATAAAAACAAGTTACTGACAAAACTCAATATATTTTTATAATCTAGTATAAAAGTTTTTTAAAGATGTTTCAACTCAATCATTATGAATTTAAAATTCAACTTATCTATCTACAATAAAACACAATATTTGCGTAAACTCAAATTAACAAAAATTTAATATGATTATGAAAATTCAACCGAAATTAAGAGTTTAATAGAAAATTAATTTTAGGATGAGCTAGATTTTTTTTTTAATTTTTAATTTAAAAACTATTCTAAATAAAAAGGTAGAACGCCGACAGTAATAAAAAACATAATTATTCTAACCAAATAATTATTAAATAATATTTTAAATTTTTAAAAACTTAAAGAAGGAAAATTAACTAATTAGAATTTATTTATTCTTATTTTTTTAATAATAAAATTAGAAATTAGGATTTACTTTTCGTCATTTCTGCTTTTAAAAGATTTTTCTTTCTAATGGCTTTTAGGATAACTTTATCAACGTGCTTTTGTGATGAACTAAAATTAATCCAAAAGAAGAGGATCAAACAAAACATATAACACATCTGCAGAAATCTTCTATAGAATTGATCCAGGTAATTTGCATATTTTAATAAATACAAATTACAATACAATTAATCACACTTCACCTATTAAAACCAAGTCTTCTAATGAATAAAATAATAATAATCAAACAGACTTATTCTCTTATCTCTAGTAACTAAAAAACTCACCGAAAATCAATAATTAGGATAAAAATCACAAACTAAAAAAAAAAAACAAAGTAGTTAGTGATTAATGTTTATTAAGTCAACTCAGAAGATCAGTTCGTCACGAAGCAAGCAACGGCCACGATTCAGAGGTGCTACTCGACACATCTACGTGGCACCGTCTCCTTAAATCGTCGAGTGTGTATAATCCGGGTACGGGCCGGTCCACGACCAGGAGAAGCTCTTCGAACAGAGACTCGTCACAAGGAATAGCGAGAGGACCGTGGTTGCAGAAACCATATTCTTCTTCTGCTTTCGCGAGAAGCATCTTGAAGATCGGGTGGTTCAGGTACGTGGCGCGCACGACGAACCTCTTCCGGCTGGGCCCCACGCACACCGCTACGTGTCCCGCCGGAACGTCCGACGCCGCCAGCCGCGCCTTCCGCCGCCACCGGAGAAGCATTTGCCGCACGCGTACGATGCGGCGGATTTTTCCGCAGTTTCCCGTCGTCGACAGCGACATTCTCTAACGGTCCGGACAAGAAAAAGAACAGAACGGAACGGAGTGTGAGTGCGTTTGGTGTTGGAATTTGGATTTTGAAAGTGTGAAGCGTTGCGTTGAGTTGGTGGAGCGGAAGGTATATATGGTCTGGGGAATGTGAATTACCACTGGAGTTTGAGATAATTACGAGATTGTGCCTGTTGTCTCAATCGTAGTCAAGCCCATGTGGAACCCAGTGGGGTGACTCATGTGGGCTTGGACCTAGCCCACTAGCCCTCTTTCTTTCTTTCTTATCGTGCATTTCAATTTTTCTATGCATTGTACTAGGTCTACTTTTAGAAAGCTATAACAAAATGTTCACTTTTTATCCTTAACAGCTGGATTTTCTGTTCTCATCAAAATTTTATATATTTATTGACCATAAAAAATATCTTTTTAGAGGTGATAAAATATGATAAGATTATGTTTGGATTAAAAATATGATAATATATAAGGTAATAATTTCACTGAATCGATCAGTAGAGTTAAATTAAGTATTTTTTTTAATATGGTATCGTATTTATATTGGAACATAAATCTCTCTTCAAGATGAGAGTGTAATAAAAAATATCTTTTTATATAAAAAAAATGTAAAAAATTATCATATTAATTAAAAATATGATAAAATTATAATATATAAATTAATATAATCATTAAAATTCCTCTCACATTTCTAATCATTTACATATCTACACAATATTTAACTTTTTTTTCATCATTCTTAAAATCATTTTTCAAACTTTAAATAAGACCCAATATAGATAAAAACATAAATTAAAAAATTAATATTTAATTTAATAAAATAATATTTTTATAATTATAAAGAAAATCATTATTACAGGAAAGACATACCTGCATCCCTAATTGTTAATTATATAAAATTCATTAAAAAAGAAAAAGTTTGATAATTTAGAAATCATTAGAAACTAGAAAAGCAGGAAGTGGCTCATACTAATTCATTCATGTGTTGTTTCTTTAATAAAAGAAATCGTAGTTGTGAATCAAAATATTTGATTTTTTTTCAATTTGGGATGAGAAGTAAGAAGAATTAAGGCTTAGCTTTGTTTGTAGTTAAAGTAACTAAACATGGTCACGTTACATGTGGTTGCCTGAATTAATTATTATGTTTCCCCATGTCTAACATTGAGATTATGGGAACTCAAAACCTGATCTTTGTCTTCCAACTGCATTAGATCCCAACTACATAATCCTGTTACAAATTTGTACCTTTCATCATCCTGCGAATTAGAAACATATTTTACTCATAATGTTGCCAATTACCAAGCAAGGCCACCAAAATGGAAGTGCATGCGAATTGTTATGATTAGATTAATAGTGAGAGACGCATAGTGACTCTAGCTTCACTGGACATCTACCAACAATAAAAATCATTTTGGTTTGAATTGATGAACTGAAGAAATTATTTGATTCCAAAACACCATAATACATCCCTTCCTAATATTGAAATGAAAGTCTTTTAACTTCATCTTCCATTATAATATCATTAAAATTTATCCTCCAACAATTTAAACCTATACTTTATTATTCTTCCTATAATCAGAGTGTTTTATTATAAAAAATATATAAAAATATTTTAACGTTATCCGTTAGGATAATATACTTAGAGATAATTATCTTGTTTAAAGTATTATCAGTTTTGACACTCTAATTTAATATAATTTTATCTTTAAAAAATATATTTAGTACGATAAGAGAGACGTATTTAAATTATGTGTTTTGTAATTATTGATCGTTATATTATATTTGAAATGTGATTTGATGGATAGAAAAAAAAATATATATATATATATATATATATATATATATAAATTACCTTAGTTTTTACACTGATATAAATAATTATAATTTTATTTGTGTATAAAAAAATATAATATTTATTAATTATTATTGTTAACCTTAAAATGATAACAGAACGGGAGGAGGCAAAAGAAGACAAGAGGTCAAATCAAATTAATAGTGTAAGTTGTTTATTAGTAACATAATAAACTAAGGGTTTGGAAGAAAGAGAGAAACATGGAGGGACAAAATCAACTGCGTTTTAATATGTAATGTTTCATTTTCTTAATCCCATGATTTTGCTGTCCCCAGAATCGTTTTAACACAGTAATCCCGATTGCAACACCGCCATAACTGATTCTTTTCGAATATATGCTGGTCCCCGCATTAATAATAATAATAATAATAATAATAATAATAATAATAATAATAATAATAATAATAATAAAACAAAAACAAGAGAAGAGAGAGTTTAGGGTTTTGCATTTTTCTTTATTAATGCCATATATAAAGTTAGTTTATGAATGTTAATAAAATAAATATTTAAAAAAAAACTTTTTTTTAACTAATTAATGTTCATTGTCAATGAAATACAATCAAGTCTATGGATTAAATTATATTTTATTATAATATAAATATATTCAATTATATTTTAATAATAATATATACAAACTTACTTGAAATAAAGAATAATATAAAAAAATTGAAGTTATTTTAAAATAAATATTTTAATTAAGTTTAAAAATCAAATTCACCAAGTAATATGACTTCGACTAATTAAACTCAAACAATAAAATTGAAGTAAATAGTTCCTCATTTCACTTCAAATTTATTATAATATTAATAAATAAATAAATAAATAATAGAAAACAATAATGATAATTAAATTATTATAATGTATCATTATAATATAATTAAAAAATAATATATATGTATTAGAGTAATATAATACCACAACTTTAAACACTACAAATTATGGTAAAATAATATTTTACATCAATTCTGTGAAAGTTTAAATTATTTAATAAACGAAGATGATTTTTTTTTTTAATCAAAAGTAAAAGATATTTTTTTTATGTGCAATTTGTTTGAATTTAAAAATTCTGTTTTAATAATTATAAAATAGTTTTTAATAACCGCAAATTTTAGTTATAAATAATTATATTTACAGTATATGTATATCTGCATAATTTCTGCATTCTACTTAAAAGTAATAAATATTTAGTTTAAAAATAATATATTAACAAAATATTCAATTTCATATAATTTAACTTTAATACAAAATAATATAAATTAATTGATATCAATCAAACAATTACATGAATATGTGATATATCTATCACAGTAACATAGTATCCCAATATTAAAATAATAAAAATTATAATAAAATGATATTCTTCATTAATTTAGCAAATTAAAATTATTTAATCAACCAAAATGACAATTTATTTATTGATAAAAAATTTTAAAAATATATTAAAAAAACATTAAAACCAACTTACCATTTTATATTTTATATTTAATAATTAAAATTTTAACACTAGATTAGTTTAAAATTAAAACTATTTATTGATATTGAAATATATTTTTTAGTATTACAAAACTTTGTTGAAGATTTCTCCCCCTTAAATAATGGTTAATAATACTAAAAAAAACCTGATTTCATTTTTATTTTAAGTAAAAAAAAAAGTAAACCAAAAAAGACTAAAATACATCATTATTAAATTTAGGAGCTTGTTAACATGTACTTAGTACATTGATAACATATTTAATAATAAATAATAATTTAAGATGATAAATGTATATCAAATTATACAAATATGTTAAATTAGTAATTATCTCAAAACTTAAATAAATATTAAATATTATCAAATACTAAAAATCCAACAAAATGTAAACATTGAAAAATTTGTTAAGTTAGGTATAATATAATTTGTCTGGATTACGGGATTAATTATCAAATTGATGTTAATCACATTTGTGGTGTAATATTTGTCATCTACAGTGTTCACACACACACACACACACACATATATATATATATATATATATATATATATATATATATATATATATATATACTTCTGCTTCTATTCAGTTACTCTTATCTTGTTCTATGGTTATTCTTTGTCTTTTATCTGTACAACTTACTTAAAATATTTGTCTTTGTGTGTTGTAGTTTTAATGAGTAAATACATATTGTTACATAACCTCTTAACTAGAAATCAATAAATAAGTACATTAACAAAGTTCCCTAAAAGAAAAAAAAAATATATATATATATATATATAATATTATAATAAAAACAACTTTCTAAATTTTAATCTTTTATAGCAAAAATAAAAGCTTAAGCAAAGTATACATTAAATTTAAAATGAAATCTTTATATATATATATATATATATATATATATATATATATGTTATCACATAAAATTAACATATTAAATTAAAAATAATCATATTATATAATATAAAAAATACAAAATAGCATAAAAAAATTATGGATACAATTACTTAATATTTTAGTATATTTGTATTGATAACATGTAAGATTTTAAGACACATTTATATGAAATAAAATTTTAGAATTAGAAAATAAAATCTTAAAACATAAAAATAAATTTAAATTAAGTATATTTGATAAAATAAAATACTTTATTTATAGATAAATATTATAAAAATGAAACTTAAAAGTTATAAATATTTAAATAATAAAAAACAATAAAATTAATACATAAACAGTGATAATTCATAAAAATGTTGTTATAAATTTATAGTTTATTGAATAAATAATATTTTAATATTAATTTATAGTTATAATTCATTAATTTATAATAATATTTTATTAATTTATAGTTTATAAATTTGAATCAATACGATAAAAATAAATATTTAAATTAAAGGTCTGAAATAAAGACATCTAGATTTATAGTTATTAATTTATAAATATTTAAATTTGAATTGACATGATAAAAATAAATATTTAAATTAAAATTGAATTATTTATAGTTTATTAATTTGTAGTTTATCATAATAAGATAAAATATTTGCATTGATAACATAAAAAATTTAAGGCATAAAGATATGAAATAAATGCATATATAGAATTAAGAAAGAAGATATTGAAATATAAAAAATAAATATTTAAATTAATTATATTTAATCAATGAGATACTTTATAAA